TCCCTACCCTTACACCTGACCCCGAGCCTTTCCACCTGGTGCCCTACCTGGGACCCCCTCTTACATACACACACTTCAGAGTGGTCACAGTCAAAAATAAATCAATGCTTCAGGTAGACCAGTGAGGGTGTTACTCTTTATGGATTGCCACAGGCCCTAAGGACAGAGGCTGTGGGTGACAGTGACTTGGGCTCCATAGCTTAGAGACACGGCTTTTCCTCATTAGTACACTGGCTGGGAACTGTTAGCCCCATTTCCAGAGTACGCTTGGGAGCCTGCGGTGTACTTGGGAAGGCTCCAAGGAGGCAAGCTGTGTGAACAGAGCCCGCCTTGGAGCTCAGCTGAAGCAAGTGCTCAGTGGACGCTTGATTATTGCTTACTGACTCCGTTATTTAGATTTCAAACATACACTTAGGTTAGGCCTTAGGTTGGCTTGAGAATGAACCAGGTCTTTCCTTTCTTCCTTCTTTATTATTTTATTGTTTTTTTTTTTTTGGATTTTACGAGATAGGGGTTCTCTGTATTGTTTTGGAGGCTGTCGGTCCAGCCTAGCCTAGAACTCACAGAGATCCGCCTGCCTCTGCCTCCCGAGTGCTGGGATTAAAGGCGGGCGCCACCACCGCCCGGCTGTTTTATTGTTTTTGAGACAGGTTCTCATGTAGCCCAGGCTGACCTCAAGTTTGTTACGTAGCAGAGGGGATGACTGCGAACCTCCGATCCTTTCTTGCTGCACCCCAGAGCTTGCTGTCCACTAGACAAGCATTCTACCAAATGAACTGCATGTCACCCTGGGGCTCTGCACTCTTAAGACCCTTCACCCGCGCTCTTGTGATGGGGCCACTCAAAGTCAGACGACGTCTCGCTCACCCGTCAATCCTCTTGAGCTGGCCAGACTATACACAGCTTTGGGGGAAGCGTGCCCAAAGCACGGCGGCGTTCTTCTGGTCAGGCAACTAGAAAAGTGCCGAGCTCTGGGTGGCAAAGCAGGGTCTCCAGCCGGGAACAGGCATGGTTTGTTGCGTGGCTCTGTCCTCCAGGGTCTAAGCACACGGGGTCTCGTGGACTGAAAATGCCTCGCCCAGCAGCGACGGGCTGGACGCTGAGAGGCCATGCTGCCAGCCAACCAAGCCGTAACGAATGCTGTGCAACTGTTTGCAGTTGTTTGTATTGTTGGCTGAACTTTGGTTCCGCCTTATTTATCAAAAGCCGCTCTTGCGTACATGTACACATCAAGCGGAAATTTCCAGACTGGCTGAGCTGAAGAATTCCGAGGTGCTTTCGTACTTAGAGCTCTCACCCAAGAGCATTTATCTGTGGCTTCCCAGGACAGCATCTCCAGGCCACAGGGGTGACGGTGGCCTCACTTCTTACATACAGGGTTACAGGGCATCCTCGTGGTCTGCAAGGTCAGCTGCCATGGAATAGTTGCCTGTCAGCTAGTGCCCTTGCAGAAGTTTGGAGGAATTAACCTTCTCAGCCCGGGCTGCTTCTGTAACTGAGTTCCCACAGGAGCAGTCACCCAGATAGCTCTGTGCTGACTTCCCATGCCAAGGCGACACCAGGGAGCCCCAGAGACGCTACCCACCGGGCCTAAGATGCTCTCTTACCTGTCTCGGGAGAGCTTGTTGACACTGGATTGGATTATTCAGCTTAATTAACATATAGGCTGGCTGCTTTTTATGAAAAATCTCCGAGTCTGAAATCTCTGCTCTCTAGCAAGAACTGGAGTGTTTCTAGATTCCATCTTTAAGCTCTTGGTCAGCCTATTAGGATAGTTGCTGTTAACCCACTAATAGCCACCAGGTCAGGACAAGAGCCCATGAAAACTAACCACTTTATACCTCAGGGAACAGTCTCTTGCTATCCACGTCCTAAACCCGTGTGCCACTGCCTGCATCCCTCATCTCCCCACTGTTTGAGAGGACCCTAAAGCACTCCAGCCCCGCCCTGGGTGGCTTTATGTCCGCCTTGCTCTTACAGTACAGTGGTAATTACCTATGGTAAAAAAAAAATAATGTCCATTTGTTAAAAGGGGGATTTTTTTATCTATAAGGCAAGGGAAGGCCCTGGAGGTAGAGAAGGCAGGCAGGCTGTACTGTGATCTCATTTATACCCCTCTGAAAGATGTAATTTCATTACCCAAGATTCAGGCAGGTGTATTACAGAGAGAGGTGAGAGCAACCGCTTTCTTCTCACTGTCTTGTTCTGGGCTAATCACAGTCGTGGTGCCCTGTTATATTCACAGGGCTTTCTGTGAAATTCTGGCCTTCTTTTTTTTTTTTCCTGTATTTCTGAAATGACATGAGCTTTCTCCAAAAGAATATTTCTACCGAATCATAAACCAAGGTCAATTGCCTGGTGACACACATCCTCTCTGGGAAGTGGAGTGTGCTGGGTCTGCCGCCCAAACTGCCCAGGGCCTCATTTGCATCCACTAATTGTTTCCCAAGCTTGTTTCTCCTGGCGTGATATCAAACAGAATCCGTCCTCTGAAAGTCTTCCTCGCGAGACGTCGGGAGGAGATGAGGGCAGGCTTTTGTTGGGACAAAACTGCCGTAGGATGTTCCTGATAGGGGCATGGATTAAAGGGGAGTAAAATAACCCTCGGACCCTGTGATGTGAGCCCACTCGGGCTGCTCTTCCCAAGTGGGCGCAGTGCTAGTTTAAACAAAAGTTACTTCTCAGTGGGCGTACAAATATCATTGCCCCCATTCTAAAAGAAGACTTTACAGCCCACGAAGTCTGTCTGCATACAACGTCCCATCAAATCTCCAGTGGCTGGAGGCTGCCTAGAAGGGCATGCTCTCCTGATCCTCCTGCCTCTGCCTCCTTCAACCGGCGAATGGTGTGCTCTCAAAGACGATACAGACACTGCGTGACAGCCCCGAGGTTGTGAGCATGAGAGAGCTGTCCCCGTTACTCATCTGTCACGTGGCAGCATGGGTGAGAGAGAGAGATGTCCTCTGCCCTCCCCTCCCCACTTCCCAGGTGGCAGAGAGCTGTCCCTGAGATCAGAAGAGCAGGAGAGCTGTGGCCGCCCCCCTCTCCCCACCTGTAACACTTGGGAGAGCAGGCAGAGTCAGCAGCATTGGTGGAGGTGTCGGTGAGCCAGCCCGATATTATGAGCACGGAAGAGCTGTGCCCATTCCTCACCGGCCATGCTGCCACATGGACGGGAGAGAGATGCCCTCCACCACCACCCACCAATGCCTGAGTCAGGTGGGAGAGCTGGCCCTGTGGTCCTAGGAGTGGGGAGAGGTGGTAGCCCTGCCCCTCCTCTGCTGCAGCACTCAGGAGAGTCGCCCCTACACCGTGCCTGGGCAACACGGTAGAGCTGGCCTTGAAGGAGTAGGTATGGGAGAGCTGACCCTGAGGACATGAAAACTGAGAACTGGCCCTGCCCTTGCTCCTTGCTGCAAGGGGTGAGCTTGCCAGGGCAATGCAGGAGAGCTCACTCTGGTGGTGAAGACAAGAGAGAGATAACCAGTGGGCTGACCAAGCCTGCAACAACCCAGGTCCAGAACCAGGGTTCCAGGTTGGCCCACCCCACATGTGATCTGCCGGAGCACGTGAAGGAACAGGTCCTGCAGACCCAAAGCATCAGGCAGGATCTCCACAACACAGGATGACAGCAGGATAACCAAGAAGAGGTCCCAGTGAGGGCCCAGCATCGATAGTGTAGCAGAAGCCAGAGGCCCTGAACCAAACAAATGACTCTTTGCAATGAACACTTGCAAGTAAAGAAATATGGACAAAGGGTTTACTGCGTGACTCACTGTGTCACATGACGAGATTATTTCCCCCTCTTTTCTCTTTCTTTTTTATATTAAGTTTTATTGGGGAGGGTTGCTTCAAGGACAGATACAAAAAACAGGAAATGAATGGGATGGAGATACATGATGTGAAAGACATAAAGAATAAATACAGAGAAAGTTCAACAAAAAGTTACTATGAGCATAAATGAGCTAGTGTCTTTGTGGTGTGTTTGAGCATGGAGAGGTGCTTAGTCTTACTGTAACTTGATGTGCGGTGTTTTATTGATACTCATGGAGACCTGGCCTTTCCTAAACAGAAATGAAGGGGAGTGTTTTGGGAGGTAGAAGCAGAGGGGGCTTAGGGGGTAGGGACTGAGAGGAGAGGAGGGAGGGGAAACTGTGGCCAGGATTAAGATAGATAGATAGATAGATAGATAGATAGATAGATAGATGATGCTGTAATGATAAACGGCACACTTGTTGAGGATATAGGTAACTGTTTATTGTAGAAATTACTTACAAGAGAAAATGGGCAACCCAGATGAATCAAGTAGCATTCTCTACCACCGAACCAGAAGCCAAAAAGAGAGCGAGTGCAGCTCCGCCACAGTCTTTTATAAGAACCCCCGTACATGCCTCTAGCCACGCCCAAAAGTGGGTCTGGCTAGTGACATAGTTCACTGCCCTTTCATGATCACATCCGTATGCACCTCTAGCGCGCCACATGGCTAATGGCGGATTCCTAAGTCTCTTCCTACAGATAGATAGATAGATAGATAGATAGATAGATAGATAGATAGATACATAGATACGTAGATACGTAGATACATAGATTCATAGATAGATGGATGATGGATAGATATATAGATAGATGACTGATAGATGATAGATAGGGAGATATAGATAGATAGATGGATAGATAGATAAATGGATGGATGGATGGATAGATTTAAAAAGAAATGCTTGAGGTGTTTTATCTGAGGCAAAGCAGTGCCCGAGTGCAACAGAGGGTCCCCAGTACTCAACTGTTACTCAACATAGCACCTCCGTTAGGTCAGGCTGCCCAGACAGTTTCAGTGCCCGAGTGCAACAGAGGGTCCCCAGTACTCAACTGTTACTCAACATAGCACCTCGTTAGGTCAGGCTGCCCAGACAGTTTTTGGGGGGAACTTGTCAGTAAAGGAGATTACTCTCAAATGCCCTTTTTATTCTGACCACCTTCCTTGGATTCTTTTTCCCTCACAGTTGACAACAAGGACCAGCTGGAGAAGACTTCAGGATTGACCATCCTTCAGAGCGGAATCGGGCCGGTGAGTAGCGTGAGGCATATCCTTACAAGGGGATGCCATCATGTCTAGTGCCATGGTGCTTGCTGGTTAACTTGTGAAATCCTGGAGCATAGGTTTGGTTCATTGTGTGGCTAATCCAAGTGGCATTTTGTCGGCTCAGGTGGTAGGAGATCAGTCCTCCCAATGTTTACAGATGCTGACTGACTGTGTAGGCAAATGTGACTGTTTGCGTTGCCTTCGAGATCATAGTTTGGTATCTCCCCAAGAAAAATCTGTCACGCTTAAGCAAAATAGGAGGCTCCAGAAAAGACGATGTCTTATATTCCTTTAATTATTCAAAAAAAATGAGGAAATCATTCTTTCCTCGGTAGTTTGGTGTCTTTGTTATTTAAACATGCGGGTTTGAACAAAAGCACAGAGGTCTGAATGTACCCATGAACTGACTTGATGCTGTCAACTCTTTGGTGTGGGGCCATTGCCTCCCTGCTACCAGAGCAGATGCTACGTCTTCTCAGTGCCTGCTGGTGGCCACTGTCTTGGCTGAGTGACAGTGTAATGAACTGTGCATGTCACAGTGGCTGAGGTTCCTCCCGGGAGCTGCACGTAGCCACTCATAAGTCAGCATGGGCCTGAGCCAATCTGTGCTCTCCTGACTGAGATTTCAGATTTCACAGCGCTTGTCATTAAAGTTAATTAAGTATTAAGGAGTGCTTGTTTGTAAGTGTTCCCTGCTATACATTAGCTTGTCCTGGCGGAGCCACTCAGAGACTCGAGGACTCCTCAGCCAGATCTTTGACTCCTGGAGCCAGTGGCTGCTTAATTGGTGGCTGTTCTCAGAGGTCTGGTTTCCAGGTAGGCTCTGAAGAGGGCTTGAGTGCCTGGGGGTGTCCTGGTTGTTGACAGCAAAGTGTAGGAGAGTCAGCCTACAACTGATAGACACTTCTCAAAGGACATTCTAAGAGCTTGACGAATGCCACTCTTCTCTGTGTTCTCAAAGCCAGGGTGGCCCATCCTGGGTCGGCAGAGCAGGTATCAGCCGAGGACACTCTGGCGATTTGCTATTTCTTTAGCAGCCAGTGAAGAGGAAGAAACAAGCCAAGTGTCTTGGGGCTTCCAGAGCCACCTATATACAAGTGGGGGGGGCAGTGGCCATGCCCGGGAGAGCACGTGCAGTGTGGTGGCTGGAAATTTGGGTGCTTAGACGTCACTGCCTGTCTCCCGGTGGGGACACGCTCATGTGCTGGCCTCTGCTTCCAGTTCAGTTTCTTCCTCAGGGAGCAATGGTGGCGCCCAGGCATTGTGAGCAGCCAAGGCTTAGGCCACAGTCATTGGTATGACCTGGCTCAAGTGTGTGAGCCATTTAGGAAGCCGACAGCAGGTGTACGCTAAGACCCAGTATTGCATGAGAGGTGACAACTGCGACTCAGGCACTCGGTTACTGAAGACGCTACCCTTATTGCAGTGTGGCCGCCAGCTGCTCCAAGACAGCCAGGATGTAGGGGTCGGCCTATCCCATTGACCGAGCCACGCCTGGTTGTCAAGCACCCCCCGTAATGAGGAATTCTTTGTCCCTGCTGGCCCCTCCACCCTTCAGCTCCAAATGAACACACGGATGCTATATTAATTACAAAAACTGTTGGCCTGTGGCTTGGGCTTCTTCTTGGCTAGCTCCGTCTCAATTATTAAGCCATTTCTATTGATCAGTGTATTTCCACATGGTCTTGGCTTACTCGTGCTCTCTTCCCGGGCTCTACATGATGACTCTGTCTGCGTACGTTTCCCCCAATTCTCCTCCTCCCGCCTGCCTTCCTGCCTCGCTGACCAAACACCGTTTTGGTCATCATCCAGGCTGGCGGGGCGGAAACTTTCATTAACACCCCCCAGGCTTTGCTCGGCTTCTTTCATAAGACTCATACTCCCTGTACCCCGCCCCGGGCCCCAAGGACGGGCTCTACAGCGGCCTCCTCTGGATGCAGCGGCTTGTGTAGGAGGTGGGAGGTTGGAAAAGCGGCGTCCTCACCCTTCCCAAATGGCCCGCCTTGTTCTACCCCCACAGCCTCTGACCCCCAGGCTCTCTCCCACTGCGACCATGTGTGTGTCCCGTCCTAAGCACCCACTCCCACCTGGTAGCGATGGCCCCTGTGCCTTCGCCGTCTTCCGTCTCACCCGGTGGCCCCGTGCGCAATGGTGTGTCCACCTCACGGGCTCCGTATCCTGTACTGTAACAAAGGTTAGTCTACCTCAGGAGACCTTGTGCCAGAAAAAGAAAACTGGAGACAGCATTTTGTGAGTGCACCTCATGTGCGTGCGTGCGTGTGTGTGTGTGTGTGTGTGTGTGTGTGTGTGCGCGCGTGCAGGTGTGTGTGCTTCTTCTTCCATGGCTCTCGGTTTGACCACACCCCGTCACCCAGCATTAAACTGTGAGGCCGGTCCTCAAGTGTCCCTGTAAGTCTTCTCTTTCTTTGTCTCTAACTTGCGATGAAACTCGAACGGTGACAATATTTTCTTTAGGTAGCACTTTTATTTTTCCCATCTCTAGGGTGAAAAACTGTTTAGTATTTCTGTCTGTCTGTCTGTCTGTTTGTTTGTTTGTAAACTTATCTACGTTGTCTTCCTGTTGTCTCCCGGCACTCTTCCCACCGTGCCCCGTGCCTTCTTTAATCTTTTTAGTGATGCTAAGCCTATTTGTTCCCTAATTTTACCTGTATTCTCGCAATCTTTTCCAATCTTAGGCTGCCGTGTCACACCTGCAGACCAGCTCGTGGCGGCCTCCTCTTCTTGTGTTGTTTTACGGTGGCTTTGGCTTGCTTTGCTTTCTATATGCTTCATTGTCAAATGCGACTTTGTCTTCAGCGAGGAAGTGTTGCTTTTCTTTTTATTAAACATGAGTTTCTTGGCTTTTACATTTTTCAGTTTTATGTTTGTTTGTTCGTTTGTTTCGGTTTTAAAAGAGGGTCTTACTCTGTAGCCCAGGCTAGCCACAGACTCAGCCGTCTTCCTGCCTTAACTCCCGGGGGTGGATATCATAGGTATAAGCCACCACACCTGCCCTCCATGTGGGGTTTCTGTGTAAGGGGGGCTGTGCTAACCCTCTATGCCACGGATCCAGTTTCGTAGTCAGCCTCCCACTTGAAGTTTCTGCGACTCCCTAGATTAGCCGAGGATGTCCTGCTCTCTGTCCTCAGGTGAGGTGGCTCTTGAGGGTTAGCAATCTCAACTTTCCCACCTCACCCAAGTCCGTATTGCTGTCTATGAATATGGAAACCCCAAGTCCCGAACCCTAAGTCCTACATGTTAGCCTTCAGGCATTTCTACTGGCCTGTCCTTAGGGTTCTGACGGGATACACCCTCAGCTGCAGCCACTCAGAGAAGAGGCCCTGCCCACCTCCCATCCTTCTCTCTCTCTTTCTCTCCCTCTCTCTTGTCTGTTTCTCTCTCTCTCTCCCTCTTTCCTCTCTCTCTCTCTGCTTTTGTGTCTCCTGCTGCTCCTGTCTCCGGAGGCTGGTCTCCTCCCTTCCTTTTCCCCCTTTTATCATCCCTTTCCTTAATTAAAAAAAACCCCTCTGCTTGAGCCCTGCTGCATGGCATCAAATGCTGCTCTTTTCTTAAATTGCATCTCCTTATAGGTATCAGATCTCTAGCTGTAACCTCAGCATCTGGCCACGACCTTGCCTTGACCTCTCCTAATCTTGGGCTCCTGGATAGTCCCCTCTCTTCCTTCTGTCCTGGGGTTCTGCATCATGTGGGTTCTATGCAGCCTCTGTGTCTACCTGGTAAGAAAGTCCCCACCTTGCGGCTCACCGTCCCACTCGTATGTCCCCCGAAAGGCAGTGCTCAGGGCCTACCGTGCGCTCCACAGGCCTTCGAACTGAAACCACAGCAGCAAGCAGGATGGGCAGAAGTTTGTCCTCTTCTCCTTACCTGGGAGCTGGAGTTCCTGGAGGAGATGTTCACCTTTCCCTTTCGAGACAAGCCGCAAAGATCTCCAGTGCCGGTTCTGGACTCCCAGGGCCGATACGGACTCACTGAGCCCGGTCTCTTACAGTCAGTCTGTCTGTTACATACACGTCTTGGAGCCTGCGGTCACCTGGGTTTGCCACCCCCGTCAGCATGTGACCCAGTCCACCTGCTGAGCCCTGACCTCCCACAGGAGGTCCCTTTGGCTTATTCAGACCCATGTTCTCCCCCGAGTCTCCTTGTTCGATGTTTTCTGGCCTCATTCACCCCAAGCTGTCCCTACTGTCATGTGTTCAGCCTTCACCAGCTTTCTGTGCCAAAGCCCCGTGACCCTAACCCCGCAACCTGCTGCTCGAGCCCCATCCACGTGTTCTGCGAGGAAACCAGTGTCTCACTGGAGATGCGTTCTCCCCGGGTAGACTCCTCCCAGCAGGGACCTCCTTGCCGACCTCAATCCCACCTTTCTGCCGTGCGGTGACCACTGCTCCTGAGATTCAAGCCAGCAGCCTCTCAGGAGCACAGAGTCCGGCCACGGTGCTTCCGGAAGATGGCCCCTTGTTCCAAATATCTGTGTTATAATCCTCTTGCGTCAACCAGCGGCCACTCCGGAAGCTGGTGCTCCTCGGATCTTTAGGAGTTGGCTGGCGTCACCGCTGTGGCCTTGAGCCCAGCTCTCCACACGTTCCCTCGGCACATCCCGTGCCAGCTCTAGGCTGGAAGCTTGCTCTGACAGGCAGAGAACATTTACAGTAGCAAAACGGGAAGGAAGGGCTCACGCTGAGAAGATTTTAGGAAGTTAATCATATCTTTTTCGTAATTTTAATTCTCTCATTCAGTAAGCCCGATTTTGATTTTTTTTTAAAGAGTGTATTTCTAATTCTTCTAATTCCGGACTCTGTAATGTAAAAAAAAGCAGAGTGTGATTGCTAGGAATCTTACAGCATTTACAGATCTTCTCCAGGCACTTGTGATTCACGCGTGTGATGACAGATAGCAGAATTAAAAACCTTTTAAGCCAAATAGGAATATCTCAAAACAAAATTAAAAAAGAGGAAAGAAGAGAT